GTGTACAATTGCAGTTGATGTGTGGGAGCCATCTGTAGAGGGTGGTAAACTGGCTAGGCGATGAGGTGCGTTACGTATCAGGAACCGGTATTCTCCTGGCGACCTTGCCCTTTTCCCACTTTCACCACGTGATTCAGCAATTATTGTTTTATTTCTACGGGTTTTTTTTTTTTTTATAGGGGAATTACGACGTTTTATTCAGAATGTCAAGAAGAATTCACCGAGGAAGTGGGCAAGTGGTCGTTGCGAGTCCTTTCGATTTTTTTATTTTTAAGAAAATTTCACGCTTCCATTGGATTGAAAGGAAAATATTTTTTTTGGAGTGGAAATATGAGTTTTTTTTAAGAGATTTGTATTGAAAATTTCTAGGGAAATGGGGGAAATCGGGGGAAACGTGGAATTTTATTTGGTTTTTGGGATTCCCAGGTTTCGAGGGATATCTATCGATCTAGAAGACGCAACGGATTTTTCGAGAGCTAGAAAAAGGATTTTCACGAAAATTTCGCTGTCTATTATATATATTTATTTCCTTCGATTTCTCTGGATTTTCAAAATGACTATATCACATTTAATTTCCATTTCTCTCTCGATTCTGCCGATTAGCATTTTTTTCACTGAGAATCATTCAGTGAAAACCCCAATTTTATTGAGAAAAAAAAATCTAGTTCTAGTTAATCCGGGGATTTTTTTGAGGATTGGAGAATTTTACCGGGGGATTCCCGGGGTTGTGTCACTCCATGAGCCATAAAATTCTCGGAATGGTTAACACCGATACGACGAGCTGGACATCGATATAATGCCTCCGGGTGGTCGGCATCCTTGGCATTGGAAGTGCAGGACTCAACAATGCATTTCAAATCCTCTGATTTCCACCGATCAAGAAAACAAATTGACACCATCCTAATTCCCCCAAAAAACCCTATAGTCTCCCCAAAACAATTCTAATAAAAAAAAAAAAAAATAGCTCGTTTACCCATTCTTAAAAAATGAATTTGGCAGATCTTTATGGAAGAATTGATGTAAATTGTGGATAGGATGATTTTTCTTCGAGTAATTGAATTAATAGAATAATTTTAAACCTCCAACTGTACGCAATTGTTCTAAACTCGACAATTATATAAACTAATGGTATCGCTTACAATTTCCAAAGTTGAACGAGTTCTCTCGAAAACACCACGAGCCGACCTGCTTTTCGGTCGACGTAACGAGACTGAAAAGGGTCCTTTGATCTTGCGAACCCTCGGTGAATTCAATCCCACAGACCCAATAATGTGTTTTGCGTCATTCTGCCATCCAAACACGTAATTACCATCGACCAGACGAAGCACCAACAACCGGAGCAAAAATATAAATAAAAAATAAAAAGCCTATCCCCTAAAAAATTATTTTCCCAGCACTTGAGAACGAAAAAAGAAAGCATAAGCCTCACATCCCTCCTTAAAATTATAATAGTCAAGATAAAAAACAAAAGTCCAATTAAAAAAACGGAAATGACATGGGGTTGCTGGAATTTTCAGCGGCTGAACTCCTGGTGATGATGTCAATGATTTTTATGATGATGTCCTACATGTGGTTGAGTATTTTTCTCTTGAAAATAAAAAACCCACTTTTATATCAAGACTAGGCCGGTGGAATCAATACTCTAATGCAGCTGGATGTCGAGGTAGGGCGCCAGTCCTGTTCCACGTAGCAGAACTCGAGGAGATATTGAGTCTCTTCTGGATCCCAACAGGAATTATCAGCACATCATCATATCTCCCGGTCATCCGTACATTAACGAGATTTGCGTGGTAATTATCGTCGTGTTGTTGTCATGAAGTGAATTTTAAGATATTTCTGGTCTTCTGCACAGGAGTCTTCCAACATCTTCAGGATAAATTCAGGACAAATCCACAAGTCAGTATTTTCTATTAAATAATCATTTTTATGTTGGAAAATATTTTTAAATATCGAGTACTAGGAATGGCTTGATGGCATATTGATTTTTTATTTTGTTTATAATTTTCCGGGGAAAATTTCGGTAAAAAGTGAAAATCTTCATGAGTTTTCATATTTTTTCATAATTCTATGTGAAATAATTCAACAAAACATTCTGATTAATTGAATTTAAGATAAATTTTAAGAACAAATGAGATAAATAAATTAAATTAAATTAAAGTAATTGAAGAAAAATTAGACACAAAGGAAAATAATTTTTTATCATTGACTCATATATTATATTTTTTTTAATTTAATGGCGCCGATTATTATAATATAATATAATTGATTAATAATTAATTTTTCTTTCAGCCGCAGAAATGTATTTATTTATTATTCTTGCTGTTATCGCAACAGCGCAGGGCACAATTTACTCCCCAGAGATGAAGGTGAGCATTAAGGCCCGGATGGACTGTCTGGAAAAGATAATTTACTCCGAAATTTGGATTCCTAATTACTTTGGCAATTAATCGTTTTTTTCAATAATTGTTAGCTAGCGTTCTAGCGGTTGTCAACAACTAGGCCGCTAGCTAACAATTATCTGAAAAAACAATTAATTGGCGGAGTAATTAGGAATCCCAATTTTGAAGTAAATTATCTTTCCGAGATACTCCATCCGGCCCTTAAATTTATTATCACAACTAAATAATTTTCCCCAACTCCAACAATTAAAAACAATTAAAAAATGAATTATAATGATTTCAAATTTGATGTAACGAAAAATTGATCGGGTGTCATTGAATAATAATTAATAACAATTCGACTAGAATAAAGTTAATCCGATGTCCATGAGTAAATGAGGTGCAGTAAATTGAAGCAATTGTTTATAAAATAATTTTTATGTGCATAACACGTGGAATTTCAGGACCATCTGCTATCGGAGATGCTGCTCCGCGATATAATCGATCGTATGGGTAATGAACTGGTGGATGCAGCAGATTCCTACGTAGATTATCAGGATCAGTCCCGCGTAACCGATGACTACGACAAAGCTAAAGAAATACCTGGTGAAATGCCGATTGATTACGAAGGGATTGAGACACTGAATCCAAATCCGAGTATCAGGGATCAGGAGTACCTTCGTCATAGCACATTAAATTCACATCAGAGATTGAATGACAATGGGGATAATCGGCATAGAGTTCAGCTTGCCGGTCTCAAGGGAGTCAAGGATGAGAAGAACGAGAATACTCTGCCTGCTTACTGCACACCACCAAATCCATGTCCCATCGGATACACCGGTGAGCTGATAAATCCCAATGTCTTCCAGAAGTTTACATTTCTTTTTTTTTTTTTATTGTTAAGTTTTCATTTATTTCGTCAACTGAGGATTTTTTGTAGATCAAAATCACTGCATCGAGGACTTTGAGAATACAGCGGCATTCAGTCGGGATTATCAGAGCGCCCAGGACTGCATGTGTGACACTGAACACATGATCGACTGCTCCAATGATTCCGAAATTAATCGTGGATTGACAAATGATCAGATTCAAAACTCCGAATTTCAGCAGATCGTCGAGCAATTTCAGGTAATCATGATGAAATCGGTATTATCAATAATTTTCATTGTTTGTTGTATGAATTATCATCCAGGCGTACATTCCCAAAAATTTGTTGGATAAATAAAATAATTTTAAAAATTGTGTGATGATTCATTCCAGGAGGCCAATCCCTTCCTGAGAGGTGAGAAGCTGCCGATAGCAGCGAAAAAGGGAATTCACGTGATTTCATAAATCAACCCCTCGATCTTTCGATTGAAAGACAGAATTATTTATTCTTGGTGGTCTAATATCGGTGTTGTTTTAACAAATGAAAATTATGTGATGCTCTCCCAAATATTCTGGTCAAATGCTCCACCAGTCATCACTCGTCATTAACTGATAAAAAGTGTCCAATGACCTATCGGAATGCGATGGTGTCTTCTCATATATAAATCGTTATTATAAGATTCAACGGAGATTTTGAGATAACAATGAGAATATTTATCGTTTTTCACGTCAAATCATTTATTTTCCTCGATATTCCAGAGTAACTCTACGTGTTGTAGATTTAATGATGATATATAATATATTTTAAAAATGGAAAACCAAGCTGACGATTTTTTCATCCCCGTAATTAAAACTGGTAACTGATTTCATCTCGAAGAGTGTTCAGTAAGTGGTGCTCCTTGCGACCGGAGAGCATGATCCAGTCCACAATCCTTAGCCGGAGAGGCCCAAAGACCCAAAAATGATAGCCTTTTGCTTCTGGTCAGTCAATATTACCGCATTTTGTGTGCAAGCTTGAATGACCTCCAGTGCAGATACAAAAGACTCACATGCTGCAGAGAAAACTAATAATCAGGACTAGTCTAACCCTGAACCCCTTATAATATTAATAATTATAATAATTATCATTATAATTATTATAATTATTCTGATTATTACCCTGATGGAATTGTTTAATTAATTATGCCATAATATATACAGGTACAATAATAAAAATCGCCTCGTCTGGGGATTCAATAATTTGTGAAGAAAATTCCATCGACTCCCAATTTTTTTTTCATAATTCAGTGTCGAATGGACTCTTTCCAACTGCAACCTTCGGTGTTATCCGTATTTTTGGTATTCCATTGGCAAGTGTTTATGAAAAACTTATTTATTTCGTATAAATAATATTTTACAATTTATAATGAATGTAGCAAGTGATTTCGAGGGATGATTGAGAGATGGAAGAATGTACAAAATGAAATTTCGTTACTGCTTTCGAAAACTCTTGAGGATGGGGTGTATATTCGTCAGAGCGTCTCGCAATTCAGTCCTGTTTTTCGCCCCTGGAAATTAATGAAGAATAATAATTAATATTTTTCTATCCAATCTCTATAATTTCTATCGATAAATTATTAATTAAAAATTCTCTATAATTTTATTAATAGAAGAGAGAATTTTAATGATTTTTACCAGTCAGAACAACTTTCCCATTAACAAATATTAGCAGGACAACCCTGGGTGCAACCATCCTGTAGATGAGTCCTGGATAAAGCTCAGGTTCGTAAGTAGAGAATTGTCCATGCATGTGATTTAAACTCTCGAGTTTAATCGGAAACTTGAGATCGCACGTTGCCACCATATTCTGGATTTTGAAATTGAGGAATTGCACGGGAAAGCCGAGCTTCTGAATGATTCGTGCGAATTTTCTTGAGGCCAGGAATGAGTCGTCCTCACTCCTGGCCCCGGTGCACACTATTTTTCCAGAGCGAAATATCAGGGCTGTTGCACGAGGATTCCTTATCCTCATCACCAGACCAGTGAATCGACCTGGATTGTACTCGGAGTTTCTTGTTCGAGTGTTTATCTTCATCAGGTGGAGCTCACACCCTAGACTCACTGTTGACACAACATTCCTGGGGAGTATTCAGAATTTTTTTATTTTACTTTCACCTTTTCATGACGAAGTAGTACATAATTAAAGTAATAATTCAACAAAATCATTTTGCTGCGAGATGTAATCGCCGATCTTATTCCAATTATCATATTTAATAAATGAATAATCATTGCATTGATTAATTACAGAAATAAATAAATGACGAATAAAAGAATTAATGAATTTCAATTTTTCATGTAGAAGTTTTTTTTTTGTAAAAGCAGTATAAAATGGATAAGTGAGTAATGAGGTGCAAATTCAGTGTAGATAGCGGAGAAGTTGAAATCTAGAAGAAAATTAAATAATTGGAGATTTTCATAGTGAAATTTTCAGGAAAATGAACAATTTTGTTTATCCAGCAAAATGTGAGGGGAAAGGTGAAAAAAATGGAGAGAACTTAGATGACGTACTGTAAAATAGGTTCAATATTTTCATTCTTTGGAGGTGGTGGTGCCATTGGGCTCATGGTAGCCTGCGGATTACTCACTTGCGAGGTACTTGGTCTGGGTACATTAGTCTGAAAATCATGAAGACATGAGAAAAAGTTTTCATGGCAAAAAAATTGATAACTCAGAGTAAAAACTATATATTTTATAACATCAACCTGTCGCATGGTTTCGCAACAATTTCAAAAGAATAAAAAATGAAAAGAGAGAACAATTGATTAACCTCTAAACACGTGTAATATCGAAGGACTTACAGAAAGTGGTGGAGCCATGGCATGATCATCGCTGGTATTTTTTGCAGGACTATTCAATATTCTTTTCAATTCATTATCATTTCTCACAATCGACGCCATGTTGTCAATTTAACAAATTTCTTTTACAGTTTTCGTCTGTTTAATATCTCAATGAATTTAACCAGAGACTGAGCTAAATCCTCTTTGACTGACACTTGACTTAATTAAATAAATAATTACAATAATTGATATTGTTTGCGACTTATTTCCAAGTGAAAGTTAATGGAACATTCCGACTGACAGGTGCAGTCATGGCTTTTATGAATTGTTTAAACAATTATATATTGTTAAGGATTGCCAATGGAATGGATGGCGCTGTGATCGATCGGTTGCATGACAACTCTGGATTATGTTTTTAGTTGAGGCTTTTATGTACCTGAAGTTTATTTAGACCACATTGTGTGTGAATTTTAAGAACAAACGATTCATTCAATTGTTGTTGATAAACTGCAGTGATTTTCATTCGGAAATTGACACGTGTCAATCAATATCACGGGAGAAATAATGATAAACGATCAATCATCGACGAGGATGAGAAGTAAGAAAAATATAGTGAAAACAAATAATTGTAGGTTAACGAGAACAATTGTTTTTGTTAACAGAAATTTGAAAAACGTGCAATAAAAAAGGTGTGAGGCACTCAGACACTTGTATAGACCTTTAATCTATCTGTTTGAATTTAGAAAACTCACTGGAGGATGAGGATTCAGATAATCCTGAAATGGAACAAGAATCGAAATTTATGAGGAACGAAGGATGGGCGGATGCCATGCAGAATATTTTAAAAACAAATAAACCAAAGAAGAAAACGACACTCGTATTATCGAGGGCTAAGAAAATATCTGAAGTCAAACCTAAAATTGAACAGAGTCCTTTCGAAATTGAAAGTAAAGATGGAGAAATCAAGGCTGAAATCGATGAGAAAGCAGACAAAAAAAATTTTGCAATGGATAAACCAGAAAAACGACGAAAAGAAGAAAAAATGAAACATTCAATACGAATTCGACCGTCTCCTCTTACTAGACCTAGAGAAAAAATTCTGCAAAAAATAGCGACACAGTAAATATTCGCGTTTTTAATTAGATATCTAATTATATAATCCACGTGAGAATTTTTCTCGTATATTGATCAATCTTGTTTATAGTACCTGTTGTTTATCTATTCCTGTTTCCAGCGTGGAGATTTAACAGTCAAATACCCTATTGGTTTGGTTCTGAAATTATGAGGAGATCATTGTTATTAATATTGTTTTTAGAGGTGTTGTCCAACTATTTAATGCAGTGAGAGAACAGCAGCGAGAAATAGAGAAAAAATTGGTAGAAGTTGGGCCACTCGAAGGAAAGAGAGAAAAAGTTCTCAAAAGTATCGATAAACGCGCCTTTCTGGATGTTCTTATGGGAGGAACGAAGAGTGTAATAGTCGATCAACAAGACACCTCGCAAAGAAAAGATGATTCATCAGAAAACGTAAATTTAAAATCTTGATTAGATCAGATTATTCACTATGAATTTTCATTTGCTCCACTACTTTGTGTGGAAATAATAACTTTAATATTTATTTAGGATAATAAAGTCTGGAGTGTTCTTCGGGATGATTTTATAATGGGAGCGAAGCTGAAGGACTGGGATAAGAAAACGCCAGAGGAAACAGACGAATCCTCAGACGCCGAAGAATTAAACAGTGATTAGAACACAAAAAATTGCATTTGAAATAATATGCAATTGGAAATTTTTTAACAATTGAAATTTTGATCCGAAAGTCATTTATAAAATAAAAACGGCAATTCTCTCAATGAATACACAGTAATTTGAAAAAGAATATTTATTTTTCCCGTTTTAATATTTTGTGATGCTTTCAAAAAATGAAAACAGTATTATTAGTTTTCTGAAAGTTACGAACTTTTTACCATTATATCACTATTCGATTTTCCTAATCTAATTCCGAATAACATTAATTCATTAATAACTAATTTTGCAAAATATCCTCAAAATACAAAAATGCTTCAATTTTATCTGTTGTGCATTGAAACCATTATAAATAGAAATACTTATTAAAAAAAAGAACAGTTTAACCGAACTTAAAAGCGCAGCGTCCGGTTGGTCCCCGCTCCGCAGTTTGTTCGATGCTCTGATACGCATGTTCTACTTTAATATCCCATCGACCATTAATTATTTATTGCGACATCGCAAAGATATTTATGAATTAAATCCACAGACGCTGAAAATCAATTAAACTATAAATTAATTGACGAATGAATTGAGTTACCCGATGTTTTTCGCCATTTTGAAGCTGAGAAAGGTGCCCGACAAAATGGCGGACACGGGGCAACTCCTCATGTCTTCCCAAATCGTTTGTGATTCTTGTCTATTCCCGTTTTATTCAAATTTCGACGAGATGAGCTTCGATTTTCAAAGAATCGAATCGAGTAAAAGGAATTCTTGTCAAACATGAATAGTCGTCAAGAAAAACGTGAACTACTCACATTTTCTGGGATCCTGTTCTAGAGTAGAACATGCGTAATTACCTCCAATAATTTTGGACGTATGCGTGAAAGAGGCTAGCGGTGGGGAATACTGCATTACCGGAAATAATTCCGTATTATTTATCGCGTTATAACTTATCACAGTATAACTCAAAGAGGATTGATTAAAATAGAGGCTCAGTTTTGGGGGTTTGAGTGACCCCACCGCCGATAACTACTCATTTTTCAAGTGTCTTAATTGCTGACCGACCCAGGGCGAGTTGATTCCCTCAACAAAAAAAGATCAGAAGACGTCCCCCTATTTAATTCTAAATTCTTTCCCCCGGAAGATATTTACACCCAAACAAATCCCTCCGAATAATATTTCCAAACTTCCTCTCACCCAAACTCTCCAGAATTACACTCTACTCTCCCTGATATCAGCTAGAGCTTCAAAATCATTATCATCCTCTTCATGATGAATTCTGTGATCAATTTCGTCTGGCCTCATAGCCTGCCTCGAAGTTCTTCCATCGAGATCAACTCTACGTCTATCCGCACTGACGATTTCTCCACCGATTTCTCCATTTCTCATTGTGACATTCGGAAAGCTCAAATTTCTATTGTCCATAAGATTCGATTCAATTGCATCTCCTATATTATCATGAACACCTATAATATCAATATTTTCCTCTGATGGTCTGCCTTCCAATGAATTCTGTAGAATGTTCAAAGCGTTAACATTACTATGAAGAATAATTTCTTGGTTAGAAATATTTCTCCTGGAGTCTGAGAGCGCAATATTCCCTTGATTGATTGCATAAACACTCCCTAACTCGTTGGTGATGTAAAAATTATCCACGGGATTTATGATTACTGATGAGTTCCTCGAGATATTGCTGCGCGGAAAACTTCGGCTTGAAAATGATGTCACTGTTGCGTAAGGGTGATAGGCCATGTTGCTCATTGGATTGTTTATGATATGTGGACATCCGTCTAGACTGTGCATCTCTATGTCCTCTTTGTTGTTGGTGCAACTGTCCTGAAGTTCAATTTCGTAAGGAAGATTTGCAAATCTAGAATAACAAAATTGTTTTCATTTTTTTTGTGGAGTAATTATTCATTTTCACTTCATACCTCTCACTTCCACAATAGATCCAGTATTTTCATTCATTCTTTATTATTTTGAGATTATTTTCTCATTTTATCTTGTTATTTTATTATTTCAGGATTTTATTATCTCATTTTATCATTTCTTGAGATTTCAGAAGAGCAAGACGTGTAAAGGCAGAGAGTTCAGTCATTTTAAGGCTCGGGTGGATTATCTAGAAATAGATAATTTACTCCGAAATTCGGATTCCTAATTACTTTGGCAATTAATCGTTTTTTTCAATAATTGTTAGCCGCTAGTTAACAATTATCAGAAAAAACGGTTAATTGACGGAGTAATTAGAAGTCCCAATCTTGGAGTAAATTATCTTTTCCAGACAGTCCATCCGGGCCTTAAAGAGATGTAACGAGATTTAAAATCTAGATTAATGGCGTGTATTTTAATCAACGAGTAATTAAATTTTTGATTAATCTTGAATTTACCTGTGCAGTAAAATATCTGAATACGACGGTGGCATTTCCCTGCCATCTTTTCCATAAATACTCTCATATGTAGGGGGAGGAAAACATCCTACTGATCCCATACTGTCTTTACTCGGAGTTTCAGCATCCATTTCGAGAATACTTCCCTGACTGCTTTGAAGCTGATGCCTGTCAACGCAGCGTGGATTTCTCTGGGCTCGAATCACATTCTCTCCCAATTCCACAAGATCCAGTCCTATATTTTCCCAAAAAAAATCACTTTAGATACCACTGACAGAATGATTCATCATTTTTCATTGTACATTCTTAATTAAAATTTGCAACAAACTTGATGAGTTAAATCAAAAAGATCCTCGGATCAATCATCTCACAAAATCTTCAACTCATCTCACTAAAGTTTAATTTCCTAATTAATTAGGTGCATAATCGAATCAATTGAATTTTAAATCATTTTTGATAATTAAGAAAACAGCACAGGTAAAAATCATTAATTTTTTAAAATTTCACATTGAATTGAAATATTTAACCTGTGGAATCTCCTTGGAACTGTGTGAATATCGTCCCATCAACGACCAGCATTCTTCCATGTGGTAGAAGAATAATAGTAGGAGTGGCAACCATTGTCTGCTCACTGTTCTCCAATCGTGAGTCACATTCTGGATCCTCTAATCGACAACAACAGTGTCTTCTGCATAATGATCTGCAGAAGGGTGCACCCCAGCAGCAGTAGATAAATATAATACATAGGACAGCCAGCATGACCAATAATGCGACAATTCCCTGACCCTGCTGACCACTTGCCAGACTCGATCCACCAGCAACACCAACACCAAAACCACTAATGGTACCACTATCCATCTCACCTATAAATATTCTTAAATTAAGGCTCGGGTGGATTATCTAGAAAAAATCATTTACTCCGAAATTCGGATTCCTAATTACTTTGGCAATTAATAGTTTTTTTCAATAATTGTTAGCTAGCGTTCTAGCGGTTGTCAACAACTAGACCGCTAGCTAACAATTATCAGAAAAAATTATTAACTGACGGAGTAATTAGAAGTCCCAATTGTGGAGTAAATTATCTTTTCCAGGCAGTCCATCCGGGCCTTAAAAGAGTGAGTCATTTAATATTCACTTATCATTCATTATTATGACTAAATGAATAAAATAATAATAACTGAAGACGCCCCTGCGCTTGTTATTGTCGATATTTTCTCATTATTCGAGTTTTTACAAATTTTTCAAAAACTATTGCTTTCAACGTTCTGAGATTTTATATAAAAAATCAAATACATAAGATTATAATTTTTTTACTGTTTTAATGCTGTTTTGGCGTTATTATAGGGGTATGAAGAGAGTATGAATGTTATGTCAATTGATAATTATTTTTTCATGAGGAAATACATTTCACCTACTTACGTTGATAGTCTTAACTCTAAATTGATGGCACACATGCGATCGATTCAATTGCACTCTTTCGTGTTGTCCCAGGTACCGTAAAAATATTAGCGTTCATATTGAATATTGAATATTGAATTTCGTAATTCTAGTTCTTCAATAAAAATTTTCAATAAAAATCTTCACAATCCATCGAGCGAATGAAAAACTCCTCTAAAAATCGAGACATAAATAACATAATGAATGAATAGAAAATCCAAGGTCACTGCAGTTAGTAAAATCCTCCCCCGAATTAATTCCACCAGAATTAATTATCCATGACTCATTCCACGGTAATTACTGCATTTTTCGTAATTCACATAAAATCTTCTGTTTTTTCCAACTAAATTCCACTTCCCTTCAAATGATTCGATTTTTTACGATCAATAATTCATTGCACTTGTTCTCTTTTTTTTTAATTCACTCGGTTTTGAGGTAAATAAAAATATTTATGATTAGAAAATGGAATTAGCGAGAGTAGAAGCGGTAGATTCAAGTAGGCAAATAGATAAGATGTAATCGTGATGGATAAGACACGTCGACAGCCATCTCCATTTTTTTTTTTCAGGGTTTTGCCATGTTGGGGTAGGTGCGCAAACGGGGTGTGTTTCTCCACTATTGGCGCATGTGATAATTTATTTTTACTGCACCCCTCAACATATTCAATTACAATTCCCTGAAATGAACTTAAAACGAATCATTGAGGACAGTGCGAGTCGCCATTTTTACGGCTCGATCTTTCCCCCACTTTCTCCTTTTCACCAAAAAGCCTACCCCATTCATTTATTTATATATAATTGATGAAAATTATTTTATTGTAAACAATTTTATGTATAAAACTATATAGACATTTTATAAAGTAATAATCATTACAATTATTACTACAGGTCTAAAACATGAATTAATATAATTTTTTTTTTAACTTCATTCAATTTTTCATATTTTTTATTAAAAAGTTAATTTTATTAACTGAACTCAATGGATTGGTTTACAGTTTCATTATTCTTTTGAAAAATCGGTGGATTGTTCCTGAGTTCTCTCATGTCGATACCAGTATTTCCTATTTTATTCACAAGAAAAATAAATTCAGACGCCACCACAGGAACATCTGCTCTTAAATATTTTCCAGTGACTCTTGCAAATCGCCTCTGTGATCGCTCATCAGCAAGTTCCAGTCAAGTTTCCACATGGATTGTTAACATATTTACTGAAAATCAGCCGCAACGACATTTTAATATTATCATTTAATAGACTATTAAATCTAATATAACAATTGACTCGGAAATCAGGTAATTATTGACATCATCATTGTAATATTCTGATTGTGACTTGATTTATGAACTAACCTAGAAATTGATAGGGGTGTGCGGCGTCTGGATCAGAGAATAATGTTGAATTAAATTATTATTTAATGTTGCAGATAAAATGGTACTGTCCTGTCGATTTTATAAGGAAAAATATCCCGAGGTCGAGGATGTTGTTATGGTTAATGTGCGAAGCATTGCCGAGATGGGGGCGTATGTACATCTGTTGGAGTATAATAATATTGAAGGGATGATTCTACTTTCTGAGCTGTCCAGGCGACGTATTAGGTCTATTAACAAGCTCATTAGGGTAGGGAAAACTGAACCCGTTGTCGTTATTCGTGTTGATAAGGAGAAAGGTAAATGATGCAATTTCTACTATTTCTACTATTTCTACTATTTCTGATTTTTTTGGATTGTAAATATCTTGGTTAATCGATCGTGGATTCACATTGATGCAGCCAAATTTACTTATGGATCTCATTATTTTTGCTCGGCATTTTTTTTCAAATTGACATTTTGTATAATTACATTATATTAGGGTACATTGACTTGAGTAAACGTCGAGTGTCTCCGGAAGACGTTGAGAAGTGCACAGAGAGATACGCAAAAGCTAAAGCAGTGAATTCAATACTGAGACATGTGGCTGAACTATTACATTATGACAACGATGAGCAGCTGGAGGAGCTGTATCAGAAGACCGCGTGGCATTTCGAGGAGAAGTATAAAAAGCAGAAGGCGTCGGCTTACGATTTTTTCAAACAATCAGTATTGTAAGTCTAATATTAAAGCGTGGAGTAATCGTAATTTTTTTTTATTCAAATAAAAATTCAATATTGCAGGGATCCATCTATTTTGGCGGAATGTGGTCTGGATGATCACACCAAGGAAGTATTGCTGAGCAATATTAAGAGGAAATTAACGTCCCAAGCAGTGAAGATTCGTGCTGACGTGGAAGTTGCATGCTACGGTTACGAGGGCATTGACGCTGTCAAGGGTGCCCTCAAGGCTGGACTCGCTCTGTCCACTGAAGAACTGCCTATTAAAATTAATCTGATCGCACCACCTCTCTACGGTAATTATCCTCGAATCGATATCCCTCCAATGGGATTTAATTATTTATCCACATGTCTCTATCGTCTCAGGAATTGGTAATTTTTGTCGAAAATGTCAATGATTTATTTTATAGTCGCATTCCTTTAAAAAGTCTTTTTATTTAATTGATTAGAAACAGATATATTATTAGATGGAGGAGTTCTCGTACTATTGCTTCGATTTTTCGCTTATATTATGGATTGTGAATATTTTGTTCTGGGTTTTCAGTCATGACAACATCAACACCAGAGAAAACAGACGGTTTGAGGGCACTGAATGACGCTATTGTCGCGATAAAAGCAAAAATAGTTGAATTGGGTGGTGTGTTCAATATTCAAATGGCTGTAAGTATTCATTAATGTTTTTTTTATCTCGTGAACAAACAGAGCTGAAAGCATGAACATTTACATTCAATGAAATTATTATTTATCGTCGAATCGAGCCCATCAAAACCCATTACGCCATAATTTGGCATGAATTCAATCAAACTAAATGAATTAAGCAATAATTCAATCATTTAAATCGATTGTTTTTTTTTTACGTAGTGGGAGAAATATTGCAATTTTGGTTTGACTGGTATTTTTTCTTCTTCAGCCTAAAGTTGTAACAGCAACCGACGAAGCCGAGCTGGCGAGACAAATGGAACGAGCTGAAATGGAAAATGCCGAAGTAGCTGGTGACGACGATGAAGAGGAAGTCGAGGGAATGGGGGAGTTCAGCGGTGGTGAGGGCGAAGAGGAGGACAACAAAGGCCAGGAATCTCAGGGAGAAGACTAAGCCCCAGTTGAGCACATTTTTTTACTCTGGTGTAAACGTTCATACAGATAAATCATTTAAAGGTGCACTTTTATCTGTATAAGTTGTGGAAAATATCTGATATGCGTTATCCTCCGAAAATTTTGAAAATAAATTGTGTAATAATTTTCAATTCAAATATCCATTATTCATTTCCGAGATTTTAATGAATATTCTTAAGTAATTGATTTACGTCGGATAAATTAAAAATATTATTTGCCGATGTTTGGTACACGAATTTTTCACCATGAAAAAAAAATCCCATGAGGTGGCGCATCTCCACAAGTTCTCAGCTGATACACGAGCAATCCACTTGCTCAGTTTACAAATCGATCACTCCTGCACGTCCCCCTGTGCTCATTCAACAGAGAATTGTCTAGGTTGGCCTACAGTTTACCTATCACAGTAATAAACTCACTTAAGGATCAGTGTATCCCCCCTGGAGTGTTATTAATTAAACGATTGATTCGAGTAACAAAAAAAGCCCCAGATCTTTGGATGTATGTGGACATAAGTAATCAGGAGCATGCGACAGTGGATTCCAAAATGACTGAATGGTCATCTAGTTTGGATTAATAGTGACAGGTCATTGGATATATATTTTAAACAATCACGATATTTGTGTGAAGTAGTGAGAACGACAACGAAAGACGAGGGGATATGATGAGGTAACGAACCGAGAATGAGATATAGAAGTGGTGACCTCCTCAGCTATGCAGTCTTTACGCTCACTTTGCATCTCAATGGTTAGTTTAATTACTGTTTTTAATATAAAAATTTATTCGACTGTTGTCACTGAATAATTAACGTTTTTTTTGTTATTATGCAAATTTTAATGTGAAAATTCTTGATATTTATTCGGCTCATTCATCCCAATTTTTTATATATCGAAAGTAGGGCGCATTAAGTTCTCTCATGCACACTCCCACTATCTCTTTCACTAACTCTCTTTCATCTCATATCGTTTATAAATATTATTTGTCAATTGTCCACTTGTTTATATTTGAAAAATTCCGCTCCTGGAAACGAATCATCTCGAGATCATTCTCACTGCAATTTAATTGTGAACATCCTTTTGCTCTAGAGAATTATTATTTTTATGTTATTGTATGGATGTCACTCATTATTGCTCGTTTTATTTTAATTTGATTTTAATTTCTGATGAACTAGCAAGAGATCTGAAGATAGAATTAAAATTCACTCAACTCTTCTTGTCGATAATTGATCTAGTTGATCTCTGTTTATTAGACACGAATGACTATTTCACGTAAAAACGCCTGACGAGCTAGCATTGCCTTGAAACAGCGGAATAAAATACTGGAGAATAAAAAAAGATTTTAATAAGAGTTTACAAGAATTTCACTCGAATTCTGATGGACCTTTCAAATAATTCAAATATTAGAGAAAGAATATTTTCCATCAATTTTTCGTTATTCATCGGAGATGATGAAATGCATTTGTATTCCTATATCATTAATTTATTTGATTATTTAAAAATCATGCTTCAATTTTCTAGATTTAATAAAAGATGTCGAAACGTCGACAGGATTAACAAATTGTCAATTTTTTATTTTATTTATCAATGAATGGAGTAAATTGCTGTGAACGGCAATTTTATTTTTATTTTTTTATTTATTTTATTTGTTTATTTCAACGGCAATATTTTACTCGGAATATCAATATGATATTTAATATTCAATCATAAAGGTCAAGTCAATGGTGGCGGTGTGTGCAAAGACTCGCAAGGACGGACTTACGAAACTGGCCACTTGTTCATACCTGAGCCATGCACTGTATGCATTTGCGACAATGGAAATCCAAAGTGGTGCAAGGAAGTCATATGCACGCTACCACAGGTGAGAGAATATCCTAATTATTTAACCCTCAAGATTTCCAAAAAATTTAATGACAAAATCGTACAATTTTTCAATTTTTCCCTTCCACAAGTTTCATGATTTTTAAACGATTTTTCAATACTCCATCCGCACTGAAACTAATAAATATGATTAATTATCTATAATATAATAATAATAATAAATAATTTTTCCTGTTGTAGTACCACGTATTAGATCATACGACTGTAATTCTTATTTATTTACAAACAATTCATATTCATACGCGAATTGAATTCGACTGATCGAATCGCATGATAAGACCGCAGTGGATTCTGAAACAAAAATATTTTATCGGTATTTTTATCTCCAGGATTTTGGAAATAACACTCTGGATATCCACGAATAACTGATGTTTAACCGTTTGTTAACTGGGGAATGTAGGACATTGTTATTTCAAATTTTGGATTTCGGGAGTGATCGATAAAATATGGAGACACGCGGTGCGATTAAATAAAATAACGATTTTAATTGCACATCTTGGAGCAATCTCACTGGATATCTGTGCATGATGGAACGTCCCCTGTCTGTAACTAATTTCTATATATTGAGTATCGTAAAAACGCGACGATTAATCGGAAAACTGTCCATAGTTACACTATATAAGTCGCCCATGAGCTTTTGAAATGTGTATTATTTGGATCAATAATAGAGAAGATATGTTCATACCAATGGATTGATATTCACATTCTTGTTAGCGCCAAATTATTAAACTTAAATCCAAATTCTAATCAGTAATTAAAATGAGTATTACATTAATCACTCTACTAGCCACTTTAGTCCCAATTTATTTCTCGCCTCCTCTTTCTTATATATTTATATATATGTATCAAAAGATTGTAATAAAATGTTTTAAAAATCAATTTTTAGAAACCCATGTCGAAGCAAGACTGCAAATCATTTCGGATGGACGGCACTCCCTGCTGCGAATTTATCTGCCTGGATAACACACTGTCTTCAGTGACAAATGACAAAACTGATGGGATAGATGGAGGGAACGATGCGACTGCCAGTTACGATCTTGGATTGAGGCTCGTCGCAAGCTGCTTCACAGCCATTCTATCTCTCAGTCTTCTGTTTTTCCTTATACATAGACTTAGGCAACGGAAAATTCGAGGTGAGCTTGAATTTTTAATTTTCACTTTTTACTTTCTATCTCCAACTGAGAGACTATTAAATTTGTCCAGTAATTTTTTTAATTCTTTTGGAAAAGTACAAACATTTTTTAAAAATCTGAGTCCATGCCTGAATAACTTGCACAAACAATATAAACAATATAATTTATTTATAAATGAAAGTGAAACGAGTTGCTCTAATCTTCCTAATCTTCAGAGAATTTCAAAATGACTGTCTATCAATTAATCAGTTTGCGTAGCAGGAAGACAAAGTCGTCAGTTGGGTGACGAGACCCGTTCATTGGGCACAATGAGTTACCTAGAGCGTGGAGGACTGCCACATGGTATGCAAATGGACGATCTGGCCTGTGGAGGTGGCTATCCCCTGTGGAAACCACCCGGAAATTACTTTCCACGTGGTGAAGCACCACCACCTTACGAGGAAGCAGTAGCTGCAGCAAGAGCTGAACAAGCGCTCTTATCAATAAGTCCACACGCACTATCACCTCTAAATCTACCCAGCACATACTTAACAACACACAACAGTCAATCGACATTATTAACGGGGAATGCCAATTTACCGGGAAATTCACCAACTCCATCGAATCACGGGGCAAGTCCCTCGTCGTCTGTGTCAGGAAGTCGTCCCCTCAGTGCAGTGAACCCGCACTGTCATCAGCAGGGAAAGAGTGAGAGTGTGTCCCCCGGGTTTTACAATAACTCCTCGACAACAAGTTTCAGCATGGGTAACAGCACCTACGAGAATTTACCAACTCCAATTACACTGACGAACATGAATAATATGACAGAAATAGGCTCGACAAACAACGTACAGACACAATCATCATCAATGAATCACCAGAACACCTCCAAGACTTATCACACAACTCTGCCACGTCAGGGATCAGCATTCACTATCTCAGCAACTCTACCAAGCTCCAGTGTTTCCACACATCGGACTATTCCGAGAACACTAGCCACGAGTAGTAATTTAAGGCTGAGACGTGACTTTTTGGCGAATAAACCAGTTGTTCCACTGTTTGGTGAAGTTCTCATTGACGTACCTTCTGGAAGACAACCGAGATCTGCCCCTCCCACAATACCAAGCACAGACAGTGCAACCCAGGCTGATTTCTACGCTGATTCCTTCAGGGAGAGCACAAAAATTCATTCGAATGAGTCTCAAACTGATGCTACATCTTTTGGAGGGATCACTGGTGGTCATTGTGATAAAAAATTACCACCTTTATTGGCTTCTAATGAAGCTAATCAGGATGGCAGCTTTGAGTCTTTTACGTGCAACTGCAGTATGCAGGCTATACCAACTATCCATGATGACACTGATGACTACAGAAGTGAGTGTGAAAATTGCAAAAGTACCACTGGGTCGAGGTACTATTTGGATAATGAGAATGAACTTGTTACTTCACCTCATGAGACTATGACACTCCATAGAAGACCTGAGGAGACTGCCGCTAATGTTACTCCACAGTATTACAGGACCTCACTGACACTGCCAACTAATACACGACAACGTATAAGGTAAATTACAAGATATTATCATAATAATTAGTGAATAGTTCTATCGAATTCCTTGGATCAATTGAATTAACCATTTAATAACAACTATTGAGTCATTTCGTCTTGAAGTTTTTTGTCGATAAATAATTGCAATAATTTTTTATTTTTATTATTCTTTGCAGAACCACTGGGAGTCGAGGTAATTGGATCATGCCAGAAAATTCATCGGAATCTTCCGACGACGATTAAATCCTCAATAAATCTTCCCCACCTTCCACGGATTTTATAAAACTTCCGAAACTATTAACAATAATGAAATTCTATAGATATCCTATAGAGAGCTATTCAATGGGAAGACTTCCAATTATTGTTGGATTTTCGTGGCAAAAGTTGCTTTATCTGTATTAAATCATCACGAATTTTATTACTATGATATCATAAGTAAGTGCCAAATTTAAATAATTTGAGTTGAACAGTTGTGAGTTAAAAAATCTTCATGACTCTTCAGCGTCTGGTTCTGCCCGTTCTTATTTCATGATAATGATAATTGAATGCGGAGTCAAATGGAAAAAGACGAGTACTCGATAATTCGGTGAGTGTATGTTGGGAATATTTCGCCTAAAAAATCATTCCAAGAATATGATCATGGGAGATCCCCATTACAAGATTTTTTTTTTCAATTGAGTATTGAAGGCTGAAATTGAAATGGCAATTATTTTTTTAATGTTCTTTCTCAAAATTTTGAGACTTTCACAGGATGAAATCATTTGAAGTTTTGAATTCTCGCCTTTTATCATTTCACTGGTCAATTATCGAGTGATTTATCGTCGTGTAGACGGATTTAATGGAGTAAACAACAATCCCCATCTTGGGAGTCTATATAGAACCTATGGTACCTGATTCAACTTACACATCCCTTTTGGTGGAATTGTTGATAGTGTTCTCTTTATCATTCCGTATGTGATGCATACGATTCGAAAAGACCCATCAAATAATATACACAACGCCAAAGTATGAAAAATTTTCTCGAAACATTCATCATCATGTTTGATTAAAAAAAACGATAAACCTGTGAAAAATCAATTTCAACATTATCCTCAAGTTTTTGTTATCTGCCATTTTTAGTAGAGATAATCGAATAATGAACTCCAATTTATTTCTTTCTACTTTCAAGAATTAAATGTCTCTAGTCACTGATGTTTGGTTTCGGTACGGAATAACTGCGCACAATAAACAGTCAAAATGAATATATCAGTAAACCCAATCGGAGAATAGAAAAAGGGGTTTTATTCTTCTTGTTCTGTCATTGATCGAAGCTATGGAAATACCACTATGATAAAATAAAAAAA